TGTCTTTTAATTGAATTAACTCATATGGGGTTCTAGACTGACAAATGTATGAGCAGCATATCAGTATTCTGTATTTCGTGGACGCAGAAGAAGAAGAAGAAGAAGAAGAAGAAGAAGAAGAAGAAGAAGAAGAAGAAGCAGAAGAAGAATGGGGAGGAAGGGCAGAAAGGAGGGAAGGGAGGGGGAAGGTGAAGAAAGAGGCAGGGGGGGGGGACAAGGGAGGGAAGAGGAGGGAGGAGGATGAAGGAAGGAGGAAGGAGGAAGGAGGAGGCAGGAGGAAGGTGGAAAGAGGAAGAACGTGGTTCATTGCACCTTTCTGAAGAAGCCCCACATTCTTCCCCCCCCCTCCCCCGTTCCCCCCCTTTCCCTCAGTACCTTGTGAACTGTGGCCTGCGTGTCTCCAGTCCCCTGTGTTTTGATAGAAGGTAAACCAACAGTCAAGAGGCCATTATCTGCAGTACATATGACTTTCCGGCTCAATCGCACAATGCTCTCAATTTTCTCCAGTGAATAAACAAATGCCGGAAATACTGTGGAGATTCCTGTGGTTTGGTATTTGTCCCAGAAGTCCCAAAATGGAAGCTGCAAATCACAAATCAAGCAGCCAACACATGACGATTCAGAATCACGTCAATGCTCTTCACTGTCAGTCAGTTAACATGCAGAACATTCACTGTTATGTGCTGTTCATAAGACTCTATCCACACCAGTGTGCCTCTGTCTGTCTGCCTGCCTGCCTGCCTGCCTGCCTGCTGGGCAACAATTAGACTTCTCATTTCCCTGCTGCTCATGACAATGGAAAGGCCGATGGAACTCCCCCATCAGAGAAAATAATGGTACTCAAAATAAAGAAGAAGATGACATGAGTTTTATTATCATGGCGAAATCAACTTCTTCCCAGCAACACCTTGACCACCGCCAAGGCTCTCAACCCTTCTACTCATCCGCCACTCAGATTGAGGTGAATGAACTCCACCCACTCTGTTGCACAGTTTGTTAGTCGAAGCGCAAGAAACGGAAAGGCGAATGAAAGATAACCTGGTGTCTGTTCCACAGTTCATCAGTGGATGTTGGAGACATGCAAAGAGAAGTCAAACTACCAGTCCACCCCGATGATTGGTTAACAGGTCACCTGCAGGTACCGGTGAAAGTCTTGTGGAGGGCCACATGATATTTTACTGTGCGGGCTCCATGAAATTATCTGGCACCCGCGGCTTGCTTGTTGGCCAACAGATCATTTGGATGTCCCGATGGTCTACTGCAGCTAAATTTCAAATACAACTTCCAATACAACAATCAGGAACTCATGGACTTTACTTATCACAACAAAGAATCCCTGAACTTCGCCCATGAAACAGCCAAAGGCGCTCGACCCTTCTGTCCTGCTGTTCAGGCCAAGAGGAGAAACTACACCCAACATCCCAATATATCTGCTCGTACTACGTCCGCTCACGGGAAAACCGAAGACCAGCCAATCCTAGACGAGTTAGGGCCAAGGCGGCGGCGCCAAAATATCCCCACGAATAGACATCGCAAAAAACAAAAGATGGAAAAAACAAAATATGGAAAAAAACAAAATATGGAAAAACTAACTAAATTCCGTCGGACCATTCCGGTAGGGCCGGAATCCCATTGCTTGCTTACGTTACTGGTCCGACTTTTCCAGGCACAACTCATACTGATTTCCTCTGAATGGGCCTCTTGCCCCCCCGCCCCCCCCTCCCCTCTCCCCTTTTTTTCTCCTTATCTTTTTTTGAACTCCACCCCTCCCATGCTCTCCTCCCTCCCCCCCCCCCTTCCCCCTTACCCTACATTCACTCATATTCAATCCAATGTATTAACTTCCCGATCATGTCCACTTCGAACTCCGATTTCCGCTTTCTGGCCATCCTTCTAAGGCCCGCTATAAAGGTTTCCTTTGGATACCCAAGCAGTCCTGCCTCCTTTAGAAATGTGATAAGACTACTCCATAGTGTGAGTTTGGTCGTGGAGTTGTCCCAAATCCTGCAGAAAGTGTTGAAGATCGCAGCAAAATTCTGAATCTTTGGAGCATATGATTCGAAATCCCTCATGGTCTTAAAGTGACCCTTTTCCCCGTCCCAGATAGTTTCAATATTCTTGAACTTGTGGGAGTTATAGACCCATGCCGGGAGATCTCCAACAATCAGTCTCGTCTCAAGAAACTCCAGAATCCCCTTTCCTCCGTCAGTTCGCTCTAGCGTGAGGTCTTCGTGGCAACATTCCTGAATTCCATCGAGTATACCGTTCAACCTGCTTTCCCCATCTCTCTCTTTGCTATCATACCATCCCACGAGCAACAAATCATCAATGAATCTCTTTCCTTCGATATACTTGGAATCACTACCAAGTGTCGAAATGAACTGCTGTTCTGCAAAGATGCACAAGACGTTGGCCAGAGGGGGACTAGCTCTCCCTTCCATTGGAATCCCAATCCTCTGTCTGAGAATATGAGTCATGGAGTAGAAAAAGGTGTGCTGCGGTTGAAACGCTCTCAGCGTAATAACGACATTCATTCTAATAGACTTCCACCCAAGCTCACCATGTGATTTGCCGAAGATTGCGTTCTTCCCTCTTGTTTTTACTCTAATCCACCCATGTCCTTTGTCTCGAAATACTTCTATCATTCATGTTACTGCTTTCACAATTTCATCATGTGGTAATTTTGTAAACATTTCTTTCACGTCGTAGGTTCTTGCAATCATTCTCCCATCCATCCCAAGTTTTTTATTTACCTTCTGATTCACTCTCTCAATTTCTTCCTTCAATTGTTTGGGACTCGAGAGGTTAAAATGTCTCCCACTCAGTCTCTTTATGAGAAAGTTCAGACATTTGGACAGAAGACCCATTGCATGTGAAATTGGGCTCCGGAAAGAAAGTACGATAGGCCTCTTCTTCTGAAGGTCCTTGTCCTTCGAAAAATGTAGGCTTGTTGCAGCCTTCCTTTCTGATCCCAACTTGCAATCCTGCTGATCTTTAATGAACAAAATTGTTTCTTTGTTTCTTCTAGAACTTTTATCTCATCTTTGTCAATCTTTTCATAGCTAGAGTTCTCATTGTACATCATGCTCATTCCTTTTTCATACAACACAGGGCACTCCACAAGAGTGGCGCCAGGATTCCAATCCAAAGGAGACAGAACCAAGCCATCAAATGCCTGTTTCATCCCAAGTACATACTCTGTGCAACATCCTACAGTCCCTTGTGTTTGCCTTGTGCAGTAGTCTCTTCGATGTATGTGAATGTATTCCTTTCGATTTATGCAACCTATTTTTTTCAATGGTTCAATGGCTGCATTACAAGCCCAATTCACTTCCGGTCATGTTATCAAAGTTCCAGGATGGGGGATGTTTTTTGCGTTAAGGGCAAAGTCTCGAATCCCACCAATGACATCTAACCTGACTTGAACACGCCCATGTATTCTGGGCAGGTCAAATACTTCACAAGTGCAGGGATGACCACATCTCCTTGCGAAGCGCTGATGGTTATGTAGGATTCTGCCAACAGACTTCCTTTTCTGCCAAACAGTTCTCATCCTGCCAACCACCAAGTCAGATAGAGCCTTTGGGAAAAATCCGGCCCTTCAACCAGCTTTTTACAACCCCATGAACTCTCCCCTTGCTAACAAAGTCACAAAAAGGCAATTTCACAGAAATCATACATCTTGGGTTAATTCCGTAAACTTTTTTTGTGACCCGAGTAATAATCCCTCTCGTGATCTGTCTTCCCATTGTCGTGTTTAGTTGCTTTATGCCAGTATTTATGTGCAACAGTTCCTCCAAACTTCTTTTGTACAATAGCTTTCACTTCCACGGTGCTCTCAAGATCAAGATCGCTTCGTCTTTTGGCTCACCTGTCTTCCTCTTTGTTTTCTTCACTTCAGTCAGCATCCATTCCCCCCCGGCTTGAATACACTGCTTGGCGTCCCTCAGTTTCATTAAATTCCCATTGAATTCAACACAACTGTCCCCATAGAGTAACTTGACCAATCCCCATGAATATAACCAGAGGACATCTTCAGAGTTACTAACTTTACATTGCTTCACATCCCTAGTCATTTTGAGTAATTTTAAGAGGCTAGGTTGATTCACCACCCGCTATATTACAATTGAATAACAACGGCACCCTCGCTTCGCCCCTTTGTCTTGAGTTTTTGGATTGTCTTCTTGGATTTCTTCGACTTAGCTTCTTTCTCACTCTGCTCATGTTAAGGCCAGGATTTGTACACCCAATGGTACATTCCTCCATTCTACCGAGAGAGTTCCCATCCTCATACAAAATGGGTAAAGCAACGTAGTTAGCAGCACCTGCTTTTCAACCAACGGTGCAATTTTTGCTTTTGCTTGGAAAAAAACAACCGTTGGTGCTCCTGCCACCTTGTTTCGAGAGCTTTCTCAATTTTTCCCACATAATTAAGCTTAAAAAATGGAGAGATCAATCGATATACACAACCCTTTATGTGCATCAATTCATTTTTTTGCTCAGGTGTCATATTTACCCAATATTTGTCATACACCTTTCCCCATTTAATAAAGCCCCTCAAGCATACAATTAGGACTAGCAATTTCAGCACCTCATTTGCTTCCTTCTCTAGAATGCAACCAAGCTTGCTTGATATATCTATGATCCTTCTACAAGCCCTCAACACGGTCCTTTCACTAAGGCGCGTTCAATTTCCTGCGATGTCACCTTGTCCAGAGTCTTTCTTTGACTCCGAGTTTCTCTCATCCTCACTGCTGTCCACACTTGTCTCATTGTCCGTAGTGTTGCTCTGTTCCTTCCGGTTCTCCAACTTTTGCAACACCCTCAAAGTCTAATCTAGCCAATTCCCATACTCCACCACCCTTCTTCTTCTACGGGATGCCTTTCTTCTTACACAGAGATTGAATCTCGGTGTAGTGCATAGCGTCATAATAGACAACCCTGCCTCTAATATATAAACCCGGTACAAGATTTTTCTTCCCTGTTTCCTTCCCCGTAACCAGATCAGGTTCCGCGGTCTTATCTGTTACATCCTTAGCCTTTTCCACTTGCTAAGGTTCCGCCTGTTTATCGCCACCTTTCAATTTCCCTCCATCACCTCCCGATGAGCTCCCTGCTGCGCTTTTGGATGCTAGTAACTCCTCAATGAGATCCTTTAACACAAGCACCTCCTTGAGATTCCCCCCTGATTCATCCAATTTCCCCTTCAAAATTTGGACTACAATGTACTTGCCTTCCTTATCTGAGGACACTTCCACAAGTGTCTTCTTCTTACCCCCTCTCCTCAGTAAGCCAGAACGAGATCTCACCTTCCCCACTCGCGACTGCCCTGGCGATGCAGTGTCCCTTTTTATTTTTTCATTGCTAGAGCTTTCTCTAAGATCCCTTAATTCTTTCTCGGCTCTTAATCTCTGTAACTCCTCCACCTCACTTTCTTTCAGTCTTGACTTCTTTTCAACCACTTCTAGCTTCTCCATCAGGATTTTCAAAGAATTTCCAAAATTGTCTGCCACCCATCTTTTCATCTCATCATCCTTCCCTTCTTCAACCATTTTACCTTTCCCCTTGTCCTTCTCATTCTGTTTTTTTGCCTTTCTGTCATTCCTCGCCTTCTCCTTGTTTTTCTCAGAATCACGGCTCAACTCCTTCAACCTTGCTATCTCTTCAATGTCTTTTTTTCGTGCCTCTTCAATGGCATCCTTCATCTTCAACTTGTCAATGAAGTTCGCGTGTTCCCTCGTAAAGAAGGCTCTTGGTTGGTAGATCCCCCCGTTTCCCCGTCCATAACTTTGATTGTACTGTCCATTAGTAGAAGTCGATGCCTGACCCGGGTAGATTGTCGGAGCTGGAGGAACTGCTCGTGCGAACTGCTGCTGAACAGGGGCGAAGCCATATGGCTCCAATGGCGATGGGTGGTACATCCCCCCCATTGGTTGGTACGCAGGGAGAGGTTGCTGGTACGAGGGCGGAGTATGCTGTCCGTGCGGGGGGGGTTGTGGAGTAGTGTTCTTCATCCTGTACCTCCCGCAGTTGGACCACCTCCCCCTATTATGACCTCTACCTTGCGCTCACATGGAACGCTGGTCGCAAATCAACTTAGCTATAGAACGCAAGCAGCAAATTCGGCTTCCTGCACACAAAATTTAGCACTCCGACCTTCAAAGTGTAATCCGCTGCCCCCTGCTTTTTGACTTTATAGTCGTGCCTTCTAATTACATCATCTTCGGCTATTTCGACCTTCGCAGACAACCCCCATCACCAATTTGCCAGCAGAGGAGGCAATTACATATCTTCACCCTCGACTACTTGTCCTTACAATCCTCAGTGCTACTCCTTCCCCCTTTTCACTTCTACTCTGTGCTAGATCCCACTTCGTTACTAGCCCAAACGCTACCCCCATCTGCTTAATTTCCACGGACACCCCAAGTCCCCACTGGAGAACACCACATATGAAAATCATCCCCCGCAAGTCTCCTCATAAAACGTGAAGAAAAGAATGGGATACGTCCATCGCCAGAAGGAGACATGGCACTCCAATTGGAAGACCCAGCGACGAGAAGAAAAAAAAGAAAGAAACAAAAACTGAAATATAATGAAATAAAATATATGACGAAGCAGAAAAACACATCAGTTGAAACACTGATGGCACCATTTGATCGCGCCCAGGCTGCACTGCAAAGTCGATCAACCGGCTCCAATGCACTTCAGATACAACAATCGGGAACTCATGGACTTTACTAATCACATCAAAGAATCCCTTAACTTGGCCCATGAAACAGCCATAGGCGCTCGACTTTTCTGTCCTGCTGCTCAGGCCAAGACTCCCAAGAGGAGCAACTACTCCCAACATCCCGATATATCTGCTCGTACTACGTCCGCTCACGGGAAAACAGAAGACCAGCCGATCCCAGACGAGTTACCGTTGGGCCAAGGCGACGGCGCCAAAATATCCCCACGAATAAAGTAAAAGCAGATATCGCAAAAAACAAAAGATGGAAAAAACAAAATATGGAAAAACTAACTAAATTTCATCGCAGGATCCACCATATCGCAGTGCCAGACCGTTCCTCTGAATGCAGCTAAATGTGTCCACTGCAGCCAGTGGCGACTCTCCAGGGCAGACATTAAGCATGCGATGTTTCCTTCTCTTGAAACTTTTCCCCTTTTGTGAGGCCTTGTGGGCCTTCCAGCAAGCAGTACGCCCTGCGCTCGGGCAAGTAAAGTGAAGGTTTGATCAGGCCTACCAGCGGCTTGCTTGTTGGCCAACAGATCATTTGGATGTCCCAATGGTCTAATGCAGCTAAATGTGGCGAGAAGATTCAGAATTTTCTTTTCATCATAAGAAAAAGATAAATCCAATAGAATCAAATCAATAAAAAAAAATAGACATATAAATATATTATAGACATATACATAGCTGCAGCCAGTGGCGACTCTCCAGGGCAGACATTAAGCATGTGACATTTCCTTCTCTTGAAACTTTTCCCCTTTCGCGAGGCCTTGTGAGCCTCCCAGCAAGCAGCAGAGGACAAGTACCCCCTGAGCTCGGGGAAGTAAAGTCAAGGTCTGGTCAGGCCTAGAAGGGACCTAGTACGTGCCAGCCATAACTGGAAGACTCCAGAAGGAAGCGCCATCTTTGGCACTTACGGGAAGGCCACAGGAGGTCAAAACATCATTCCGGGTGTAGGATGCAGTCATCTTGCCAGAGTGCTAAGTCAAGCTCTGCTAGCAGGAGAGGGCTGCACTCAGCGTCCAACCAGCAGCAGTCATAGCTGCGCTGAGGTGTAGGAGGGAGATGGTCCCCAGAAGGGAAGACCCTTAAGAAGAAGGGCAAGGCCTTGGAGGAAAAAGGAGTTCGCGAGGACTTACCTGATGCTCGTCAAGAAGAGCTCCAGCATAATATGTTCTTCAGCAGGCTCCGATGGGACCAGAAGAGTGCCCTACGTCCTTGTACTATCGTGTCCTAAGGGCTAGAGTAGGTTGTCATACCTGGTAAAGAGACCAGCATTTTTTTTTTCCCCCCATAAGGGAAAATGAAACGGTTTTCACCTTTTGCAAACACAGATGCGGATCCCAGGGCTCGATCCCCATACCTCACCTTACCCTACCTTACCTGTGTACAGTATCAAGTTGACCCTGTGAGTCTTGAACCCGTGACCTGTGTGTTCGTAGTCGAGAGTTGTCTGCCGTAGGTCTGAGTAGTTGTCGGGTCTTGAACCTTAGACCTCTCGAAGTAGGGGTCATACCTGCATAGGGGTCATAGTTGTTGAAGTTCTGAAAGGTCAAGGTCGTAGCTGCGACAACCTCTCTTTGGTAACAAATGGATTACTGACAGATATGGGGCTATTTTCAATAGTTCCTTATATCGAGAGGGAAATGGTTTATCTGGTATAGGTAGGTGACGCCATGTTGTGAGTAGAGTAACCCAAAAATCATCCAAAACTAGATCATCTCTAGTTGCCCCTCTATCCCCTTCCATTCTGGATTGAGGGTGCTTTCTAGGAATGCTCCAATAGCGATCCTCAATCCATGTAAGGGGGTGTACATCCTCACTGGTATGGGGAGCCAACCTTTTAATTTGCTCCAAAGCTCGCACCAACCAGGGCCTGTCAATACCAAAAATGAGTTTCTTGATCCACTGAAGAGAGAGGGTCTGGCATTGCAAGGTTGGTTCCAGAATCCCTAACTCCCCTCGTGATTTGGGTTGGATGATTGTATTCCAAGCAACCCTTGGAATTACCTTTTCTTCCTCATGGTCGCCTCTCCACAAGAATGTTGAAGCCCGTTTTCGCAACAATTTCGTTCGTGTTTGAGAAATCGACCATAATGCAGATTTATACCACATTGAGGCAAAAACAACATTATTAAGGATTAAGGCTCTCCCAAACAAAGAAGTACGTTGATCCTGCCATTGATTCATCTCATCGAGTGTTGGGCCTGAAACCCATTCATCATTAATGATCGGTTTGCCCTGGGCTGTGAGAGAAATTCCTAGAATGTGGATTGGGGCATTGAGTGGTATCCAAATGATTCTTGGAGATTCTGGCGATCTAGTGCCATTAGAGTGAATCCACCATCCTTGTGTTTTACATCCCCAATTCACCACCATATCAAATACCTAGGAGAAACGGTTCATCAAGGATTTAATCTTTTCCATATTACTCTCAGAGGCTTCCACCATTAGTGTTAAATCGTCTGCAAACATGGAGGTAATCGATATGGCTTCCTCTGGGATGCCAGTTATCGTTAATCGTTTGAGATTTTTATTAGTCATGAGATTATCTCCTAATGCTTCCATGATTATTAGAAACAAAAAGGGAGCTAGGGGGTCCCCTTGTCTAACCGATCTTTGAAGATGAATTTCTGGAGATAGGAGATCGTTGATCTAAACTCTTGTTGTCGTATTTTGATGCAAAATGGATACCCATTGTCTAAAATTTGGCCCACAATTCATTTTATTGAGGCAAGCATAAAAAAAACGCCAATCTACATGATCATAGGCTTTCTCAAAATCAATAAAGACAAAAGCAACATTCTGTTTAGATTGACGCACTAATTTAACCATTTCCTAATTAACAAAATGTCGTCTTGGATGTGCCTACCGTTAAACCACCAGTACTTGGCCTAGCTATCGATGTCGAGTCTGGAATCCCCCTGCTCGCCAATTTCTGCCGAAGTGACGGGGTACCGTTTCATTTTTCTTTTGGCTGGCGCTTCCAGCCATTCAGGTCCGGTACCCCGAAGCCCTTAATCCGCGGCGCGTTAATGGGACAGCGCCGCGGCCGATAGCTGGGTCAAGTACTTGTGGTTTAATGAACCCCGTTTGGGAGGGATGAATGATATCAGGCATAATTGGGATTAGCGGTAGATTCATTTGATTTTGCATATCTTATCAATGGAAGCACCATGAGGCCACCTGCGAGATTGGAGACTTACCTATTCTCTCTCTCTCTCTCTCTCTCTCTCTCTCTCTCTCTCTCTCTCTCTCTCTCTCTCTCTCTCTCTCTCTCCCTCTCTCTTTCTCTCTCTCACACACACACACACACACACACACACACACACACACACACACACACACACACACACACACACAGACCGACATTGCCATGCTTCACCAAATGAGCGAAATGGGATTGAATCTTCCCCTAGAACATGGAAGTATCCACTACCACAAGATGGAAATATACACTGCCAAAGACCGAAAATTTGGCAGTGTGTATTTCCATGTTCTAGCAACAGATTCACTCCCATTTTGCTCATCCTATGGATCTCTCTCTCTCTCTCTCTCTCTCTCTCTCTCTCTCTCTCTCTCTCTCTCTCGTGCGCGATGACATTTGCATCTGACAACTCATTAGTCTTGAGGATAATAAGGAGGCTGGGCTTAGATGGTTTTCCCATGCGGCTCTACTAGATCTGCAACAGCTAAAGATTAAGGCTAATATAGTATGGTCGGTCACTGAGGTTTCGTCTTTCCTATGCTCTATTCTTCGTAACGGACTGCTCTCCTCCTCGACTTCATTAGAAGGAGGAGGATGGTTGAGGCTATAGACTAGTTATTTACCTTCGATTTGACAAAGGATGGAGGCAATACAAGCTTTGTATGGGGAAAATCCATCCTGGCTGAGGGCAACGCAGGCAGCGGATTTAGATTTAAGGTCACTTAATGTTAATGGTCTGGCCACAGCCGATGCACTCAAAAGAAGAGCGATCATAGAACAATTGCAAGGTGTAGGAGGAAGATCATGACCGACTCTGATATGTATACAAGAGACTCATCTTATGGATTCTCCAGCTCACAATCAAGCACACAACCTCATATGGCCGCACCAGAGGTTCCAAGCCCACGCAACACGTAACGGGTCAGCGGGGGTAGCCATATGGGTTCCTCTAGACTCCAAGGCAGAGATGATTCACTGGGAGGCAGATCAGGAAAATGGAAGATGGATTTCAGCACTGGTAATGCTGGAAATAGAAATAGTGCGTGTATTTAATGTCTATGGTCCTAATGAGGTACAAGAACGCAAACAATTCTTTAATGATATCCGGGGT